CCTCCACCAAAATCAATCTGAAATTTGAGAACATTTCTGGTAGGATTCTATTCCTGAAACTTTAGGTTTTCTCCATCATGTTGAAAAGACATATTTATTTAATCATTTAGTATCTCTACTTAGTTTAAGAATCACCTTTTTCTAGTTAAAAGAGAGGAAACTTCATTTAAGTTTTTGGAATTTTCTATCTGCTTTACCAGGGGAATACAAACAAAAGCGGGCAAATATAAAAAGGAACTTGTAATGTAAAGGTAATAAAGCATCACATTTAAAAAAGGGGGGTAGCCTCATTCAAGGGAAGCAGGACAAAAAAAGTAGAGATTCATTTTTATTTAAAATTAAACTAAAATTTTGAAATGTTGCTTTTCAGACAGAAATATTAGGGAAGAACTCAACTAATACTGAACCACATTGGTGTTCCTTAAAAAAATTTCACCCTGGAGTTGCATATATACACTCACATTCCTAAGACTGACTCAGGCAATCCCAGATGTCCGTTCCTCTTAACAAAAACAGTTGAACTGAAATCCCTGATCCAGTGAAATTCATCCAGGGAGGAGATAGACTCTAACCTAAGCAATTAAGGATGTCACTATGCCAACAGTAAAACATTTTCAAGGGGGAAAAACAAGTAATGGACCTGGCAAGAATTTTTTTTTCCCTGAGCAACTGATCTCTTTTCAAAACAATAATTTTGTTTTTTAAAAGCAGAAAAAATTGAAACAATAGCATCCAAAGAAGAAGAAAATGTATCTGGGTCCCTTGTAGCCATTACACATTCACGACATAAATTCAAACAAACTTCTATCATGAGATTTTCCATTATAGTTTTGAGTATTTATCCCCAAAATGTAATTTTAATTTTAAAAAAGTAAAGTAGACTAAGATAGTAAAGAGAATTCTCATTGAGAAAATGAAAAGTAGTATGTGAAATACAAAATGCATTGTAAAGAAAGGGAGCATTAGAAAGAGGGAAGAGCCCTGGGTGGAGAGTTAAAAGATCTGGGTTCTACTCATCACTTAATTTCTTAGTCTCAGTTTCCTCACCTATAAAATGAGAAGACTGGATTAGATCTATTCCAAATAATGATTTATATTTTTCTACACGTAACATTTTCCACATTGATTGCACATGGATTATTCCATTTCACTTTATTGGAATGATGGAAGAATATTCATTTGAACTCTCTGTGTTTGATAGCTATATATCCAGGGTTGAGTTTCGGGGGTGGGTTTGGGGGAGGAGTAGATCTATGATTCAGTTGGTATAGGGACCTGCTCATGAGAAACTACCACTTTCAAAGCAGATGAGTACATGCTGTGCAACTGATAGTCTTAGAGAGCCTCTTGGGGCTTTCTAAGAAGAGAAGTAAATGACTTGCCCAGGGCTGCTCAGCCAGTTTATGTCAGAGATAGGTCTTGGACCCATGTCTCATTATTTCCAAGGCCAGCTCTTCATGCAATATAATTATAGCCTCTCATAGCTAGTTGACATCAAGAATGTTGCAGATTTTAATGCTTTTTTACTTCTTTATTTTTTGCATTCATTTTTAAAAATTGAGTTCCAAATTATTTACCTCCATTCTATCCCTCCCCTACCCATTGGGAAGGTAAGTAATATGATATCAATTATACATGTGAAATTATGCTAAATATTTTCATATTAGCCATTTTGCAAAAAAACAACAACATGATTTTAATACTTTCAGAAATCTGTGATTTCATTGGTGTGTATATTCTTTTCACTGACACACCACATCCTCTCCAATCTCTTCTCATCTGGTTCAGTTCTTATCTGTATTTACCTATAATCATGCACAATATATCTATCTAATATGCTGGAGGCTTTCATCATGCTTTTAGTTTATTAGAGGTACCAATGTAAAACAAATCATAAATGAAGTCCCAAATGTGCTTAATTAGCTCATCTAGCTTGTTATTAGGCATGTCTAAGTGCTTAGTAAACACTTAATATCCCTATTTTCCTCTCCCTTTCAATTACTAAAGAGAGTGGTTATTGAGAAAACAAAGTTGAGTCACCTTTAACAGTTGGCTAATGAAAGGTAGCCAGTCATATATATTGTCTTGGTGACATTTTTGGACAGAATTTTCTTCCAGTATGAGTGAGGAGAGCAGGATTGAAATGCTTAAAAATCTAGTTCTTTCCTCTGGAGACTACATGGCTTGTGTTCCAATGCATTCCATTTATACTGAAATTGTAAGTTAAGAGAAAATGGCATACAGATGTGCTGTCCGTTATGCATATAAGCTCGCTCATGTAAGGGTCGGTGTTCACCATAACTTGCTTATTTTCAGTGTATAAACAAAGTATATTTTCACACAGGCTCATATTCACAAATAACTCATATTTAATTTTTAAAGAATTAAAAATAAAATAGGGATATGTTACAAAATAGCATTAGAGAATTTTAAAAGCATTATAGTGTAGTGAAAAGAATTTTAGATTTAGATTTTGTTTTAGAAATTATTTAAAAGACCTGCCTTCAAATCCTGGCTCTACTGCCTAATACTTTTAAGTCTTTGGACAAGTCACTTAAACTTTCTGCAACTCAGTTTCTTCACCTATAAAAAGAAGGTGATGGACTTAGGATATTTAAGGTCTCTTTGAGCTCAAAATTTATGATACTATACTTTCCAAAGGTCCCCTTCCATAACTTTAAGAAAATACAATAAAGTTTGTTTGCCTGGCATTATGACAACCAGAACTCTCTATTACCTAGCATTCCTGTGGTTTGCCTGTACAGTAATAATTGATGTTCAGAACTATGCTGCTCAGGGCACTAACTATAAAAAATCCTGAAGTGATTTCTGGATTATTAATGATCCAATTCCATTCATTTCAGATTTTTAGTGTCATGTTATTTATTATAATTCTTGGAAAATTAGTTCTTTCTCTATGGTAAAAGTTTTTTAACATAATATTTTATTAATCTAAGTATAACATTCTCCATTCATCCTTGATAATGACGTTTACTATAACAGATAAACATCCTTCCAGTGAGTGTGGAGCACAATGCTTCATTTCTGGAAGTGTATCAGCTCTTATCAGTTATCAGTAAAATGGTGAAATGAGAAGTAATTTGGGAAATACTACTACAGGAAATACTATCCTATTAAAGGAGTTAATAGGGATAGGCTGTAGGTTTGTGATTTCATTTGTTTAGGGACCCCTTGGATGAAGAAACTACCCTTACTGATGGAGATTAGCCACATCTCTTCAACTGAGAGTCTTAAGAAAGTTGTTTGGGGGACTGAGATATTAAGTGACTTTCTGAGGGTCACAAAGCCAGTACATGTCAGAGGAAGGATTTAAAACCAGGTTTTCCTTCTTCTGAGGCCATCCTTCTAAATATACCATCGTGGCCCCCAAAGAAATTCATGCTCTCCCACAATTTTAACCATTCATTCCCCAACTCTAAGCATATTCACAGTCCATGTTAGATTGCTGCTGATTAACTTCAAGTATTTTAAAAAGCAGGTTAATCTGGCAAATTTGTGAACTTTCAGGAGAACAGTCTAATACTATAAATGAATAAAATTTCTGATATGGAAAATCATTCATACTCAAGAAATTAGAGGGTTTTTTAAAAAAATAATGCATTAGCTACTATGGGAACAAACACATAGTCCCATCACATTTTCTTAAAGAAAAAAAAAGGAGAGAGTGAACATATTAGTGACCCTAATCATCTCTTTCTTTTCCAGAAGTTCTAGGCCACCTTCAAACATTAGACACCTTTTATTCAAAATGCATTCTAATGGGCTCTGTTTACCCCCTCGTTCCTTAACGAATGATGATTTTGCTCTTCTGTTGTGATATCACTTTACCCTAGCCACGTTATTACCTGGATCATAAGAAGTTATGTCAATATTCTATTCATATATTCAAGATATTTATAAGGCGACACATTTTCAACGTAAACCACTTACTCAACCTAGTGCATTTTCAAACATTCCATTGAATCAAGCTGCAAACGATTTCCCACATTTGTTTTATATTCTATATGTAGAGCTGATGAGGAGCAAGTCTGATGAACTCCAGCTGGGCTACAACACATAAGCTGGCCCATTTAAAGTGGTCCTCATCCAGTTCAATCCCTATTGCATTCAATAGTGACCCTTAAATGGGCAACACTGGATGAAACACTGGACAAGTGTCTGGGAAAACACCAGGAAAAGTCAACAAGTTGGATATCTTCCCCCCAATAATAATAATGTTATAGTTTTAAAATATACAACATGTAGTTTTCACATTTTAGATAAGCAGAATTAAAAGCTTTACAAACAAAATTTCAGCAAATTATTAAATTCCTATGATTTCAACATTTATGTGTGTTGCCTAGTTTCACAAAGTCTATCATACACATTTCAATTCTCCCCCTCTATTCCCCACACCCTTCTGCTTCTGTCCAGCTGGAATGCATCAAGGGTGCAGAAGCCAAGTCAAATGTTGACCCCACCCTCCTCCATCCATTTTAAGGCACCTTCAAAGCGAGAGTACTGATCTAGTTCAGTTTAGCCAATAACACCAGCAATCCTGTTATTTAAGACTCTAGTTTGGGGTTTTTATAACTGCCCATTAACATGGGAGCTTTGATAGTTGGTCAAAAAACCCAGCTGTATTGAGTTTCATCCGATTGTAGTAACCTTTCCTCAGAAGGGTCTTTATTATTAAATCTTCATCATCTTTGCTCTCAGTGTCACTTCATTCCCTCACAATATCAGCTTCTCTGAACTTCCTAATAAACCAGGCCTGAAAAACACTAAACATTTCCCTTCCAAAATGTTAGAACAGAAGGGTCATTATGGTACTTCAAGTAATTTTTTCACTGATGTTTGAAAACACATTATATCATTTGAACATTGTGACAGACAACAGTCATTTGAAATTGCACAGAAATGCTAGGTCTCCTGACCAAAAAATTGGCAAGATAAATATAAAAGAGGGAGAATAAGCTGCAACAGGACAAAGAACTTACTTTGTTGTTCCCCTGTGCATGTAGCCGCAAGGAAAAAAAAAAGAAGGAAATACGTTAAACTTTGATTTGTTTCAAAGTTGTGGAACCTCTTGCTAGAGCAAAACCAAAATGAGACACTTAATTCAACATATTAACAGCAAACTTAGACACAAGATTCCAGAATACATGGGCAATTCAGAAGGTCAACTAAAATTGACTGAAATCATAAACTCATAACAGCAGAAAATTATTACAAAATGATTCTTTCTTTCTACTCAAAATAGTTTGGGGATGGGGACAGAGCCAAAAGGAATCATTTCCCACCCCCACTTCCTAAGAACGGGTAATAAGTGAACTGTTAGCATGAAAGACAAGCCATTTAACATGTCTATTTGCCCTTTTATGACAGCCCCTCCTCCAACATGCCAAGGAGTGGAAAGTTTCAACAGCCAATGTGTTTCTAAACAAACATTGCATCCTTGGCTTCTAAGAAGAAGAAGAAGGAGAAGAAAAAATGGAAAAGAGTGCAGAGGGAAGGAGTGGGTGGTAGAGTAAGCAGAACACGTTACGACAAACATCTGTATTCCTTTATTTTTTTTTTAATTATGAGTTTTTCCATGGGCTGGTATGGAGAGTGCTGACTGTATAGTGGGGATATAGCCAAAATAAACAGTAGTCCACATTTGAGAAATTGGGGCTGGAAAAGTTGGTCACAAAGATGTAGTCATTTTTTAAAGAAGGGAATCTGGATAGAGATACAGAGAGCAGTAGTAGTCAGCTGGTAAATGGATATCCTGTTTCAAACTGAAACTGCAAGAGTGTGATTTATATCAACGAATTTAACTCACATATGGTTTAAAAAATAAAAACAATGATTCATTACTACCAGGGCAGCCCAAGTCCTCACAAGGTCAAATCCTAAGGGGGAGTGAGAGAAATGAAGGGATATGGGCAGGGATCCTTCTGAAACCCTCTTACAAGGGGCCCTAAAGGAATTTCTAGCAAAGATGCTGTGGTCAAAGAGTGCTATAACTAAAATATAAGCATGTGGGGGATAGGATGAGAATGGGGCAGAATAACAGGTCAGGCTAGATAGCTGGCAGCTAGTTTTTAAGCTCATGAAAGACACAGAGGGAAAAACAACATAAAAAGAAAACTTCTGGGTACTCTGGGACTATACAGTGGTGAAGCAATAATCCCCCAAAGAAAGGTTATTTCCTGGAAAATAATGCTAATTAGAGACCACAGAGACTTTGCCTGAGCCAGAGGCTATTATTGCTATCATAAGCTGCGCTGAATAAAGAAAAAGGCCAAAGATACTGATAAATTATTGTGGCGAGGTGCTTGGTTTGTTTTTGGTTTTGTTTTTGTATTGTTCAGCTACAGTCGAACACTAGGTTGCCATAGACACGGCTGTTTGTTAACATTCCTAGTTTTCCTGAGGAGTTAATGAAGGGTACAGGAATGAATGAGGGAAACAGGATTCTATTGCAAAGATCATGCCAACTTTTCAATAAGGCAATAAAACTCTCCACATTGGGCTTTATCAGAAACAAGAGACTACTTTCGAGAATAATGGGGCCCTAGTTCTCCAAAGAATTGTAATGTTACTGAAAAAACCTCAAACAGAGGGGGTTTATTGCATTCCACAACAGGGCAGCTTTTGATCTACTAAAATAAGTTTCAGGAATTTAACCAAGTGTTTTCGTACATTATGCAATGACTGGATTTCACACTGTAGGGGCAGATGGTTAACTTTGCAATGGTCACAATGATGTCATGAAGGGAAGGATTCACTGTTCTTTAAATACATAAAATGCACAAGTACAGTACTTCGAATTTTTTCCCCCTGGCTTTTAGTTCAATAATTACTCAATTGTCTGGTGTGAGAGACTTATAATAGTCTTGAAGTGACAAAACAGAAGTACTTTAAAATTTCCCTTTTTTACAGTGTCAACAGTTTAGATCTCTGACACTGACTTCATTTTTTAAAAAAATGCCATTAAGACAGAGCTGAATTGGCCAGTTGGGGATAAGATGTTTAAATTCTGTTCGAAGCCGTGCTAACTAAACTAAAAAGAAAGAGGGTGTTTACATGTTGGTGAGCTTATGTAGAAAGCATGCTCTAAGTCTTGTTGTGTGAATGTAGTATTTACTAAATGGACAGAGATCTCCAATAAATACTATATTAATATTATATTAATTAATAATTATAGATTGTCCATTCCTCCCCCCTCCTTAATTTTAATGGAAAGTTGCTATACCACTATTTGTTTTCGTATGGAATTTGGTACATGGTGGTCCTATTGGAAGAATGTTATGATTTGTAAAGCACTTAGTACAGTCCTACATCTAGTAGGGGCTTAATAAATGCTTGTTCCCTTTTCTACCTCCTTCCTGAAATATAAAAGCAATTCACCAATGAGGCATTTCAGAAGGTAAGCATTATAACAAAGTGGCTCCTGAGAACAGTATAATAGCTACGGTGATTTAATTCTTCAAATCAAGAATTGGGACAAATGATTTGAGGATATTCCTTTGGTAACATTAAAAGTACACTTACTTTTCTTATAGTAAGAATGTATAGTTGCCACAGCTTAGAGAGAAGCTTTACTATTTTATGACCTCTTGGATTCTAAAGACTTTTTAATTAATCAATTAAAGTCAATAGCAATTTTATATCTTTAGCAGGTATTGCAATGTGGTGTAGAATCACCTAACATCAAATGGAAACTTTCCATCTATAGTATTTCTGACATATTACTTGTTCTGTATGACCATATAACCTAGAGCCATAAATATGATTGGAATCCATATCTGAAGGATTAGGATCATGGAGCATAGAATTTATAGCTGAAAAGAGATAATAACAAAAAAAAACTTCAAAATTTTGGGTATCTGAGATTTCATCAATGTGGATATTTCACCTGCTGAGCAGACAACCACTTCTCTAGAACCTAGTCGCTGGTCTTCAAGAATCATTCAGCCAACTATCATTTATTAAGTACCTACTGTTTTCCAGGCACTGTGCTAGGTGCTGGAAATCAAAAGAAAGGCAAAACAAAATTTAAAAAAAAAAAGCTACTCTCAATGGGCTCATATTCTAATGAGGGAGGACAACAAGCAAACAGCTGTATACAAATGATATATATATGATCAACTGGGATAGTCTCAGCAGGAAGAAACTAAAATTAAGGAAGACTGAGAAAGACTTCTTGTAGAAAGTGAACCTTTAGTTGAGACTTGAAAGACACTAGGGAAGCTAGAAGGTGGAGGTGAGAAAGCAAAGTGTTTCAGGTGTGGAAGAGAGTCAGATGAAATTCTCAGATTCGGGAGTGTTACATGCAAGGAACAGCAAGTTCTTTGGAAAGGAGAGAAACTTGAGGCTAGGAGACAAAACTAACAGGTTATTACAATAGTCTAGGCATGACAGTGTAGTTGCGGTGTCATGAGAGAGAAGGGAGTTATACGGAAGAGATGTTACAAAAAGACGATAACTGATTGGATACGTGGGAGGAATCAAAGATGACACTGAGGTTGCAAGCCCCAGTAGTTGGGAAGATGGCAGTTATAGGGACTTGACAGTTAAAGGAAACTTAGGAAGAGGTTTGGAGGACAAGATGATGAGCTCAGTTTTGGACATGTGAAGTTGAAGATGTCTATGGAACATCTGGTATACGATGCCTAATAAGCAGTTGGAGATGGGAGACTGAAAGTCAAGAAAGATGTTAAGACTGGGTAAGCAGGTCTAAGAGTAATTCAACCATGGGAGCTGATGAGGTTACTAAGTGAAATACATATAGAGAAAAGAGAGTCCAGGACAGAGCCTTGGGTCATACCCACACTTAGGGGTCATGACATGGATGATGATCCAACGGGAGACAGAGAAGAAATGATCAGGCAGATAAAAGGAGAACCAGGAGAGAGGAGTGTTCCAAAAACCCAAAGAGAAGAGAGTATCAAGAAGAAGTGATAATAGCATCAAAGGCTGCAGAGAATTCAAGAAGGATGAGAACCGAGAAAAGACCTTGAGATGTTTTTTTTTTTTTTTGGTAAGGCAACTGGGGTTAAGTGACTCGCCCAGAGTCACAAAGCTAGTAAGTATTATGTGTCTAAGGCCAGATTTGAACTCAGGTCCCCCTGACTTCAGGACTGGTGTTCTTAGATTTTTAAAAAAGTTAACAGATCATTAGTAACTTTTTAGAGCAGTTTTAATTGAATGATGAGTTTCTGTGACAGATAATAACAACACATTTACATAGCTTTTTCTCACCACAACCTTTTGGTGTTGGTAGCAAAATCATCATTGTTCCTGTTTTTCAGATGTGACAACTGAGATTCATAGGGGTGAAACAACTTGTCTGTGGTCATACAGCTAGTAACTATAAGCACTGGGATACAAATCCAGGTCTCTGGACTCCATGCCCAGAGCTCTTTCCACTACAACACCTAGAGTAGTGGTAAAGAAGAGCAAACAAATAAGCGACAGAAATCATTCTGAGATAGAATATCAGGCCTATTAATTCCCCCTATTTCTGAAATTTTATCTATTCATGCTTAAGGTTGGCAAAGTTTCCAAAGGTGCTCTGTTAGTTTTGATGTCTTCCCTAGGATTTCCTCTAATTTCTTTGGCAATCTTTACCCAATATATTGTGCAAAAGTTCATCACTTGTTAAAAATACCAAAGAATCTAGTGAAAGGCTTTCTAGGAAAGGAAAACTATTAAACTTGGGGGAATTGATACTTCATAGGTGGATAACAAATATTTATGTATAATTTCAAAAATATCTTTCTAATCGAAAAGACTATGTCAGAAAGTTCTCTTCATTTTTGTACCATAGACACCTAGCCAAACATATATATATATACACACACACACACACACACACACACACACACACACACACACATACTGCATGCTTATATATTTGCATGCATATGTTATGGGAAAAGATATTATCTGTATGAATATATAAAATAGTCTTTTTAATTTATTCAATTGGAATCAAAATGATTAAAATGTGGACTTTCATTATGTGTCAGTATCCCTGATAAAAATGACTATTATCAAAAACGATTTTTACTTTGAATGTATGTTAAAATGCCATATTTCTACCTAGTAGTGTAGACCTTTTTTACTTTTTTTAAAACAAGGTCTACATTTTAAAATTATTGCTCACTATTCTATTAAGGAGTTATAGAAAGAATATTTTACTTCATCCAAATTCAAACAGTTTTCTTACATAGCAGGAAACTCCTACTGTTCAATAATATTAAGTGGCTGCTAAGAAAATAACTTTGTCACTCTGAGAAATCAACTGGAAGGGCCCAAAGCAAATCAGAGGCACTGGAAAAAATCTAGGTCTCTCAAATCCTATCCTTATGATGTGTCCAATCCAGCATTTTACAATTGAACTTCAATTTGGCAAATTTGAGTCTATTCTGTGCAAAGTACTATGTTAAGCCCTTATAATGCTAAATACTCCCTGCCCTCAAGAGCTTTATACTTCTACTAGAGGCAAGGTATGGGAAATACAACATTAATATGATTAGTAGATCATAAGTCTTTAATCAGTAGTTGTTGATTGACTGTAAAGAATGATGAGGACAAAGAAGAGATTTAGGCAATAAGAATATTTAAGGAGGAAGATAGCATTTTCACTTGAGAGGATTAGGGAAAGATACATGATGAAAATGGCACCTGAGCTGAGTCTTGAAGAAAGATAAAGATTCTGAAAGGTGAAGGTGACAGCAGAAAATACTCTAGGCATGCAGAGACAACCTGGAGCAAATGAATGGAGAAGGGAGATGGTGTAAGTTAGAGGAACAGAAAATAGTCTAGTTTGATGGGTAAATAGAATGAATGAAAGCAATTAATGTGAAAGAGGTACGTCAGGATAAGAATGTAAATACCTTGACATGCCAAGATGAATTATTTTTATTTTATTCTAGTTGGAAACTGGAGGTTTTTTTCTTCTTTAATAGGGAATGCCTAAGGAAGATTATTTTTGCTGTTATATAGCATATCCATTGGAGAAGAGAGAGCCTGGAGGTAAGGTAACTAATTAAGTGGCTATTATTATAGTCCAGGAAAGAATTGTGGCAGTGTGAGTGGGGACAAGCAGAGAGATGTGAGAGTGACTGAAGAAGTAGAATGAAGAGAATCTGTCAAAGTGTTAGATGTGGGGTATGAGGGAGAGGGACATCAGAGATGATACTGAGTGTTTAAACCTGGGTGAGTGAGAGGATAATAGTTGAATCAACAAAAATAGGAACTTCAGTTCAAGCATTTATATGGGTTATATAATATTAGACTATATTATATAGTCAAAGCAGAAATCACAGAACTGCATATAAGTAATAATTTTCCATTAAAATTATGTAAAAATTATTTATTACATTAAATGACATATAACTCATTTATGTTATAAATGCTTTCTATGGCTGTAACCCTACTTGCATCTATGCCATAGACATAATAGTGCAGGCATGTATAAGTATGTACTGTTTACAAGGTAAACAGGTTTCTTTGAAATTCAAAAAAACTTTTCTCTTGGTATGACACTATGGTAAAGTGAATTTATTTAGCAAGTTTAAAGATTAAATTCCAAACCAAAGAATCCAACAGCAAAGATCCATGTTAAGTTTAAGTAGCATAAAGCTTTGGTGGACAATAAAAGCATTGAGAAAGATGTACTTCATCAGGTAAATGGAGTATTTATCTTAAATATGGTTAACAAAATCAGACATATTCAACTTACTAAAGATTTGTCAGGATAGACCCCAGCTCGGAGCAGAGATGCCTTCCAGCTATCTACGTCTTCTTGGGAGTCACATGCCAACTCAAGAAAGCGATAATCCTTGTATACATTCCTGGAGAAAAGGGGAGGAAAAGGCATTGTAGAATCAAATTCTTTCAGGAATCAAAGGAGTTTTAAAATTCCCCTTCTTACTACTTAGAGTGTCCATCACTCCTACTCATCATCTCTTACTTTACCATCACAATGGCCTTCCAATTGGTCTTCCTGCCTCAAGTTTTTCCCCATTCCACTAACCCTTCCACTGAGCTGCTAAAGTGCCTTTTCAAAAATGTGGGACTGCTCATGTTATTATCCTACTTAATAAGATCCAATACCTCTTCATTGCCTTTAGGATCTAATACAGAATCCTCTTTTTGGCTTTCAAAGCCCATCACAACCTACTTTTTAACTTTGTTATCTATTACTTCCCTTCTGGCCATCTTGCTGCACATAGAACACTCTATCTGTCATCTTCTGCTGAACCATATGTCTGGAATGCATTTCTTTCTCACCTCTGTGTCTCAGAATTGCCCCTTTCCCTTCAAAATTCAGCTCAAACACCATCTTCAATGGGAGGCCTTTTCTGATATCCCCAACCATTAGTTCCTTCTATACCCCATTACCTTTTGTTTATTTTGCATACACATATGTACTTCTTGGAGTAAAAAAGACCTAAGTTGAAGTCTGATCTTAGACACTTACTAGAGGTGTGACCCTGGGAAAGTCATTTAACCTGTCTGCCCCAGTTTTCTCACCTGTAAAATGGGGATAATAGCACCTACCTCCCAAGGGGTATGGGAAGGATAAAGGAAGATAATATTTGCATGTGCTTGTGCTATATAAATCTTAGCTATTATTATTATTGTTATTTGAACATATTATTTAATTAATAAAATGTAAGCTCCTTAAGGGTAAAAACTATCTCATTTTTGTCTTCATGTCCCCAGTGCTCAGCACAATACTTTATATATACTAAGTTCTTGATAAATAAGTGTTCATTGATTGACCATATATCAATAAATGACAATCCAAGATATGTAATGTACTGATTCAAATGTATAGGAACAAAAGTCATTTCCCATAGCTAAAATGGTCAAAATATATGAATAGGCATTTTTTCAGAGGGAGAAATATGTGATCAACAACTATACTTTTGAAAATGCTCAGAATCTTTAATAACTAGAGAAAAGAAAAATTAAAGCAATTCTGAGGTTCCATTCCACTATCAATTGGACAAAGGTAACAAAAAGGAAAATGATCATTGTTGGAATGAATGTGAAGAGGGAAAAGGTACATTGATTTTGATGGAGCTGTCAATTATTGGTCCAGCCCTTCTAGAAAGTAATTGGGAACTACAGCCAAGATGTTATCAAACCAGCCCTTTATCACTCACCCACACTGAATGCTGCCACTATTAGATTTGTTCCCCAAACCAATATGTACACAAATACGGTAATTCTTTTGCAGTGGCAAAGATTTGGAAACTAAGTGGGTGCTCATCAATTAAAGAATAGATCAACAGATTATGAGAGAACACATGCAACAGTGTTCTTCAAGTCTTAAAGCAACTATATAAATGTTAACTCCTATACAAATGTAATAAAACATTTTTGCAATGTAAGAAATGATGTAAGAGATAGGGAAGAATTGCATGAACTGATGTAGACCAAAGTGAGCAAAACCAGCAGGGCTATTTGTACTGTAATGGCAATAACACAAAGACAAAGAACTTTGAAAGATACAAGAATTCTGATCAGTGCAATGACCAACCATGATTCCAGAAGACTCACTATGAAGTCTGATATCTATCGACATAGAGGTGAAGAACTCAAGTTGTAGAAGAAGATGCACATTTTTAGACACAACCAATGTAGGAATTTTTTGCTTAACTACGTGTATTTGTTATGAAGAACTTTTTAAAAAAATACACAGATACAATATTTTGTGGGTTTTGGGGAAGAAGTAGGAGGAAAAGGGGAAGTATGAACCTCTTATCATTAGCATTAATTAACTAATTAATTATAGGGGAACATATGGTTGCCAAATATGCTTAACATTTTGTAGAGAGTGTCCTGTGTGGCATCCAAATTTATGGGGGACTCCACAGAAGTGGGGACATTTTTTAGGTGCTCCTGTTTGTGGACTGCTTGTTCCTTTGTGCTTATTTCTTAAAGGCCTTGGAGAGTTTCTTACATGGAATCCAGAATTTTTCCAAAGTTTGGGGAAAACTAGATGGATAAAAATCAATGTTTTATAAATTGTGGTATGTAGTTGGATGCTTGAATATTGGTTCAAATGGTTGAATAGTTGAACCCACACAACTGGTTCTATAATACTTATATCATAGCCTATGTATAGGCCCAAAAATAACAAAAAGAAGAAAGTTGTAAGGATTGCCTTCAGGAAATTTTACAGTGCTTTAAATGACTCCAAGCTTTCCCCAAAACATTCACTTTTTTTGCTTTGTAAGTATGAATTTTATTATTTTTATTATTAGTATTACTTTCATTGTTGTATTACTACAATTAGTGGTAGTATAAGTATCCATAATACAAATGACAATAATGGTGATGATAAATGAAAGTTTGTTATTTGCATATTTAGAAAAATCCAAAATTGCTCTTTGGTTCGTTAAGTAGATTATTATATCTGTCTTTTAATATTTCTGATATAATGATCCTTGTGCTACTTCCTAAATTTCAGGGCAGGTCCTCTGAAGGATGACTATCCTAAGTTCAAGGCTTGCCATGGAGTCACATTCTGCTTACTCTTGGCTCCCAGGAGTCTGAAAGACTAACTTTTTCAACATCAATACCCTTCCAGGGATGCTATATGACTATGAGTTATGGAATACAATGCTTTCTGAAAAAATTTAAAGTTCCCCAAAGCACAAAGGAGAAATTCACAATAGGTGTGAGTAGGCTATACAATGCATTATGAATGAAGAATTGAGCAAGAGAAGTGGGATAAAGGATCCCATCATAGATGTATGACTGGAAAAGATGGCAAGTCTGTCATGTGGTAAGAGTGAAGAATAACTAGGCCATGTGATCTATTGTCATCTACACAACATCTATAGAGGAAGGCCACTAGCAGGTACGTGGACCTTTGTGAAGGATTGCCAGGAGGACATAAGCTGCACAAGCTTTAAATGGGCATGGATGGGTTGTGAGCTAAATCATTAGAAGGAGAACCCATATCAGTGAGATCAATGGCTATTAAGGTCAGGATGGGATAAGAATTACACAAGATAAAGAAGCATGGAGAAGTTGGGAGTCTGCATCAGTGAAGTATATTACCAAATGAGTGTTTTTACAGATCCACCAAAATTGCTGAACTTTCAAATAATTCTCTAAATTCAGGTCCTTATAGCTCTCACTTATACTATTGAAACAACTTTCCAGCTGAACCATTAGCTTTCTAGTATTTCATCTTCTTTAAATTATTTTACACACAACTGCCAAATAATATTCCTAAAGCTCTAGCCTGTGCACGACCCTTGCCTAAGAACTTTTAGTGCTCACCTGTTGCCTATAGTATAAAATACAAACTCCTTAGTTTGGCATCTAAATCCTACCATAATCTGATTCTAGCCTGCATTTTCAGAAACACCACATGTTCTTTTTCATGTTCCAATCAAAATGATCTCCTTGTTGTTTCTCCAACTTAATATTGCCTCTCCTACCTTCATATCTTTGCCCAGGCTGTCCTCTATGCCTGGAATGCCATCCCTCCTCTTCTTTGCTTCTTAGAATTCCTGGCTTTCTTCAAGGCTAGATGCACGATGCCACTTTATAGGGGAGGCCTTTTTCCTAATCTCCATAATGGAAAGTCTCTCCCTTCTCAAAAAATCACGTATATATTTAATTGTTTACATGTTATATTCCCCACATGCCAATGAAATTGCAGGTCTAGTTCCTCTCTTCCTAGCCTCATACCTTGGGTATTGCTATAGCCCACTGGTTGGGTTTCCTCAAGTTTTCCACTTCAGTACATTCCTCCATCAGGGCACCCATGGGGAAGGGTACATATACAAGGAACACATGTGACCAGGACACAATGATAGAAGAAACTAACTTCCATCAAGCAGGGCTACCCAATGTATTCTTTTAAAAATTTTATTTTATTAAATTTGGGGGGGGGGGTAAGACAAGCTTTATGTCTTCTGAAAATGGCATCCTACTTCTCTCTAAAGGGCCTGCTCCCTGCTAGGCATTGTTGGGGTCAGGTACCTTCTCTCTACCAGATACTGGATCTCACCTCTGCCCCGCGAGGTCTTGTATCTTACCTGCTCCACCATAGGTATCATATCTTACCTTTATTTTGTCTTCAGTTATCTAACTATGTAATATTATGTATTTCCTAATGTCTAATAATTGTCATGCTTGTTCTAGTTAGCCAATCTCTTGCAGAGGAGGGTGATAGCTCTTTCAACTAGCTTTTTTAGCCTTATCTACCATCTGTGGGCAAATATTATGATTAATGAATTTCTTTACAGAGGAAGGCTACAACCCTTTAAACTTCCCATTCTGTCCAGCCAACATACTATCTTGGTGGCCCTTGCAAATCTGTCTTCCATACACAGTGGGAAGGGGGTGATGTGGTGGTAGAAGTATTGCTATTAAAACATATCTCCCCTGCACTGAAGGATTATAGCGATCCTCTCAGACATTGACAATGAAGCACTCCTCCTCAGCCAGGCTGTGCATAGAAGGTAACAGATGGTGATTTCCAAAATTCTATTTTCTTCTAACTTATGATCAGAAAACCATTGTATTTCTTATTTTTTTAATCATGCTCATTGACTAGGTAAGTATCCCAAGGGCTTCCTCAAACAGACCAGATTTGAGTAATACTGGAGGGGAAATTTTTGAACCTCCTCTACCACACTCTCTAGTTCTGTTCCAATGACAAGGGATGTTATGGTAGGAGCAGACTGAAAAGGCTCACTTCCCTTGGCAGTAAGGCACAGCTTATTCTCTTTCTGATCTCTATGCCACGACCTGTGTAGAGCATGCCAAGTCTATATTTCTAGACTGTGTCGATTTTCTGAGATACAGACCTATAGTTCCA